CGAAATACAGCAGTTCCAGTAATCTCTACAGTTAACTGCCCAAGTCAAAACACGGAATCGGTAGGTGACATCATGGAATCCGGTAGGTAACATCATGACGAGTTGCCCAAGTCAATGCACAGAATCGGTAGGTGACATCATGGAATCCGGTAGGTAACATCATGACGAGTTTAAAACTGACGATTCTTCAAAGATTTGAAAAATCATGGAATCCAAACCGCCCAAGTCAATGCACGGAATCGGTAGGTGAAATCCGGTAGGTAACATCATGACGAGTTCAAAACTGACGATTCTCTAAAGATTTGAAAAATCATGGAATCTAAACCGCCCAAGTCAATGCACGGAATCGGTAGGTGACATCATGGAATTCGATAGGTGACATCATGACGAGTTCAAAACCGGCGATCCGCCTGATTCTCTAAAGTGAACCGCCCAAGTCAATAGGTGACATCATGACAAGAGGAATCCGGTAGGTGACATCATGAGGAGTTCAAAACCGACGATTCTCTAAAGTGAATCGCCCAAGTCAATGTACATAATCGGTAGGTGACATCATGACAAGTTTCGCTAGAAAATCGGACACGTCATAGGTAGGTCACATCATGACGAGTTTCGCTAGAAAATCGGGCACATCACCATGTCTCAACGGTACATTTATTTTCAATATTTGCAAGGGTAATTGGATGTCACACGACCCCATGTCCCATTCATTCGTCACCAACAAATATGTTGGTCGTCAAGTGTTTAATAGATGTGAAATCCCCTTGAAACTTTCGATGTGGGACAATTCCCACTGTAGCAACTAGAGAACAAATATATTGCTTGCAAACTGTTAACGCATGGTCCTGCACCTATTTAGCATACAAACTATTATCGCATGGTCCTGCAAACATATTAGAGTGCAACCATTAGCTCTTATGGAATTCAGTTTATTATAAAAAATGTTTATTAAATTAATAAAACATAAGCCTTTTAATAATTATGTTTATTATAAAAAAATATTTATTTAAGGGAAAAGTTTATATACAGCCGAGGCTCTAAAACAATCAAATTCGAGCCTACCTCAAAAATTTTACTAGAAAAGGTTGTTTTGATGCTCAAATATCCTCAAATTGATCATCTCGACATCAAGATGCATGGACATGAGAAAAAAATAGATTTCAACTTTTGAAAATAATGTATTTTGTAATGCATTTTTGGACCGTCAATTTCTGAGATTTTCAAGTTTTCATAAATCTCTCGATCTACACTATTTTTTAAGCTTTAAACTTTATAAATAAAGATGAAAATATATTTTAAGGCTATAAAAATATTTCCAGTATTGAACCACATTGCTCGACACTATTTGACGGTAGGCTCTAATTTGATTGTTTAGAGCCGAGGCCGTATACTAACCGCACCTTTTATTTAATAGAGAGAATCTTTTATAATAAATTATGTTTATTATAAAAAATATACAAGTAATTTAAAATATATATACAAGAGCCATATTGTTTTTTGAATCACGTTTAGTATAATATTATAATCAATAATTATACTAATTACATTGATAACAAAATCTTATATATTATTTATTATTATATTTTTATAATAAATTATATAATTTAGTATCTTTTGTTATAGTTGTAAATTAGATTTTAAAATTAGATGATATTACAAGACAAATTTCAAATTTATTTTTATTTGAATAATAAAATTATTATAAAGTATAAACCAATAATTTCAATTTCATTAGATAATATTATCATTAGTTAGGTTGTGATAATTGTGGATTAGTAAAGAGAATTAATAAATATTTAATCTGATATTAATTTCACTTTATATAGGATAATATTATTTTTAATCTTATAAAAAAAAGTAAAAGTTTTTAATTTAGTACCTCCATCTCTTATTGAATTCCTAAATACTAATATTTTTATAATAATTTTAAATAAATTTTTAAACTTTTTTTTAAGGCCGAATCCGTTTTATTCAGCCGATTCGGCTCTTAAACCACTAATTCAGTGTCCGCACCAATTCGTCTTTTAAACCACTAATTCAGTGTCCGCACCGATTCGTCTTTTAAACCACTTGGTTAATATAGCCCTTTTTGAGAAATTAAATAAATATAGACGGGCAAGCATTAACGTTCCGTGGTCCAGTTGTAAGTACATTGGACTCTGAATCCAATAACGCGGAGTTCAAATTTATTTTACGTTTTTTAAAAAAGTTTTTCCTCTAATTTTCTGTTCCATACTTTTTAGATAAGGACACAAATACCCTTCTCGAATTTTTGACAAAAATAATTACGTACTTAAAACTCTCCCCGTATCTAAATCTCCCGCCTTTAAACCCCTGAAAACCCTAATTTAGTAGCATTTCTCTTCAGACCCTTAAATACTCCCTCTTTTGGACCCCTTAAAAACCCTACTGGATGAGGTCCTCTCCAAACTGTAGTTCCAGGTTCGGGTTCTAAGCTTTCCCCGTTTACACTTGTATGATTCTTAGTATTTTGACCTTCCGTTTTCTTTCTTATTGAGCCATAAATCTGGTGTGTTCATTTTCTTTTCATTTATACTTATTTATAACTCCTGGGATTGTTTCAATTGAATTTTCTCATGCGTGTTGTTATTCATTTGTTTTTGTGATGAATTGGTTATTGCCCTTTATATATAAATGCTCTTGAATCAGTTGTATTTGGTTTTACTCTGGTTTTCCCTTTATAGCACTATTTCAGATTATTATCTCCTTTATCTAGCTGCATATATCGTTTAGGGCCGGTGAAATTAGTGGTTTTTCTGACTTATCTTGCTTGTAAATATGAGGTTTAAGCTCTGTTTCGTTGAATTCGAGGTTTTTCATGATTAAAGACTTAATTAATTTATTTTCCATAAAATAAACTGTTATTAAAACCAAGGTTCTAATGTTTGGGATTTGGCTTTCTACCTATTGGAGGCCAAATCCAGTAACCCATAAATTGTCAATTGTTATGAATTTATAAAATGCGCAAGAATTTCAATATGTAAACTACTAGTTACTCGTAAGAATCAGAAAGCATTATAAAATCTCAAATGGGATGCACTCTCAAACATGCACCACTTGCAGTAATTATGCCTGATTGTTTTTTTAAACTGAATCGATGTCTCGAAGTACTTCTGATGCCTTCTTATGCTTATTCCACGATTTCCAACTCTTATAAGGAAAATTTTATATAAGGATGCAACCTTACTTATAGAAATAAGGGTGCATTTATCTATACCATCCGTTCTATTTGAACGGTATAGATTTGACACTGTCTCAAAAGATGTGCTATTTTTTTTACTCTGCTTTAATAGACGTGTCAAATCTATACTGTCAAACTAAAATTGATGGTGCAAACACCACAAACCTTACTTTACAAGTAAGGTTGCATCCTTATACAAACCGCACCCATTAATGCTATATAATATAAATATGTAGAATCCTAATTTTTTTACTATTAATACAAATGGTAACCTTACTAAAAAAGAATATATAGAATCCTAAATATTCATGAGAAATAGGAAGATATTGTAAAAACTCAAAATATAACTGGTCTTTGCACAACTTTTTCTGCTGCTCTGTTTCATTTTTGGGGTTGCATTGACTCTTAATAGAGATTTGAAAGGCTGAAGCTAGTGTAGCATAAGTCTCTAAGTCCTATAGTTAGCATTGTGTAGAAACCTTGAAGGGAGAATTGGGGCTTGCTTGAATTGACTTGATTCAGCGACTTGAAGAGTTTTTTTTTTTTTTCTATTAGAAAAGAGAAAAAAACAAGGCAAGGGAAATATTTGGATTTCGAGTTGCAGGATCTTTTTAAGACTCAGGTGACTACTCAAGCCATTACATAATCTTAGAAGTTGTTGAGACTTGAAAAAGTTGTTAAATTGAAATGAGACTTGGTTAGCCTGCTTGGCTTGAGACGAAGGGGAATTCTGAACTGAGTGTGATTGGCCCTGCTGGCTGTCTCAATTGAGCCAACTTGGATGGTTTCATGATCTTTCCTGTTACTAACTCAAACAAGTCCTGAGCTCTTCCTCGAGTCTTTAGGCTATGGTTGGAATCAGAAAATATTTGTAGTATAATTAAAGCCAATTTGGACTTGCTGGTTCTGCCCAATTTTTTCAAACCAGAAGCAGTGATGTTCCTGGAATTGATAGGTGGCAGGTCTCAGGTCTCAAGTTGTGCCTTCGGACCCTTTTAAGGTATGCAAATTCCCCCACTTCTGCTGGCTGTTTAAGCAGTATGTGTCTGCTCTGGTTTTAATGACGCTTGCATGTATAAATGCTGGGTTTTAAAAGGTGTGAGGTGACCCCTAGGTGGCCTAGGATCACGACTATAGGGGTTTAACAGATTTTGAATGGTTTTGAATAATATTTGGTTCTTTAGCATTTTATTTTGAAAGAAGCATTGGTTCATACAAAAAAATTTGAGTTTGAGGTGGGGCTGTATCACTGCTTTTGCATGTGATGTTGTGAGTGTATGTGTCTGTGTGACATTGTTTGTGTGGATCTATGGTAGTACAATATGAGAGTTGTATGTGACACACTCATAATTTTAACTGAACCTAATAAGCAACAATAGTTGTTCATGTACCATTATTCTCCCTTCACACATTTGGATTTGATACTCCACAGTACACGAACAACTATTGTTGCCTATTAAAGAGGGAAAATGGGCATAGCACCCCTATGGAAAATGGGCATAATACCCCGAGGCCGTGCTAGATGGATTCCATTTGGCTAGTCAGAGAAGACCAAATCCGCCCACTCCCAAGGCCTCAGCTTTCTGAAACAGTCTAATGTATGACAAAAAAATATTTATGTATTAAGGTGAGATGAATCAAGCATAAGGTGCAAATTTTCTAGTATGGTTTAGTGCATAGTGTTTTTATCAATAATTAATTCTACTTAGGTCTTGGGCGTGCTTGTAATACAATGCATGGTTTTTATGCAATAGTACAGTACCTGAGTTGGGCGGAGAAGTCAAAGGTCTGAACCTTGGTTTCATCACATTTGCAAATCGAGCTAATTTACACAAATTGATACTGATAGTTGTTGCAGAAGTGAGTGGTAGTGCTAATAGTTGTAGTTGTAGTTTGTAAAGTAATGGTGGTAGAAGTGGTGGTGACATAAGTAATGGTAGTAGCAATAACTAATAGTACTAGATTGGTAGTTAGTACATGGCAGTTGGTCATTTTTGGTAGTTGGAAGTAGGTTGGTAGTTAGTACATGGCAGTTGGTCGTTTTGGTAGTTGGTATGTGGTAGCAGTCTTGTTGGTGGTGATGGTGGTGGTGGTGGTGGTGGTGGTGGTGGTGGGTGGTGGTGGTGATATTTGTCATGGTACTAGCTGTGATAATGGTAGTGTTAGTGATGCTACTAGTTAGAGTTGCAGGGGTCTTCACCATTTTTGTCTAGAAGTCTCGTTGGTGGTGGTGCTATTTATGGTAATATTGGTGGTGGTAATTGTATTTATTGGAATTGTAATAGTTAGAGGTCAGTGTTCTTTACTTTTTTGTCTTTAGTTGGTTGCAGTAGTGGAGATAGTGGTGCTTGCAGTCATGGTGGTGGTCAGTATTTTCAATGGTATCATCTCATTTAGTCAATGGATATGCTTGCCATAATGCTTGTTCATTCCCCTTAGACATGTTTGCTTACAAACACAATAATTTTGATTTGGCATAGATGTGAGTATGCTCATAGCAGTGCAATCCCCTAGAATGAATGGATGCCGACTTTTTTATCATGTTCGCCATCACCAATTACAATTGTGGAATTATCTTCTGCTGCCTCGAGAAACTATTTTTCCTCTTTTTTCTTTAGGGGGGGGGGGGGAGGGTGGAGGATATTGTACTGTTAAACTTGTACACTCGGTTTTGGGTAGGAGAGACCACTGAGTTTGGTTGATACAGAAAAGGCTGCAAAAAGTTTTTCCTAGAGGGAGAGAGAACAAGAGAGTTTACAGGGAAATGTAACGGAGGCAAACCGTGGCTGTCAAAGAAAAACTAGTGTCATCTCAATGGGTTAGGGGTCGGGGGAGACAACAATGGCAGGGACGGAGACCCTCAGATGAGCAAGACAATCTGGCTCTGAATTCGCTTCGCAGAGCTATCTCGGAAGGGAACTGAGAGGTCTTGGCAATGAAAAAAAATCTGCTGAAAATATCATCTAATCTCTAAGGGCACTGTGCAGCTTTGTTGGCCCTAGAGATGAGTTTGAGGGAGTCAACTTCAATAAGGAGCGATTTGCTCCCATTCTCGGTGGCATAACAGGGAACTGCCACGCAACAATGCAAGGGGCTTCACAAGTGAAGCATCCACGGTTTCCATAGGTCCCGAGAAGGTTAGGATAGTTTCCCTGCAGGCTGCAGTCCACCAATGCCTGCTGGTCCAGGGTTATGATGAGCACTACCCTCAAAATTTAAATTCATAACCTGTGGATTGGGGGGTGTATTGTTATTACAAGTTTGGTTGAGCCCTTTGATGAACCAGAAATATCCTTTGTTAAATAGGCAGAACTGGAGCTTGTCTTAATTTTCATCCTTGCATTATTTATTTTACCTCAGCAAGTGCAAATTATATTACAGTTAACACTTTAAAAAAAAAGTGCAAATTGTGTTGAGCAAAATCACTTTTAAGAAACAGAAGCCAACTATACAATTTCTTTCCTTTGAAATTCCATTTGATTGCTTGATTTATTGGACCTCATGGATGAGCGGCAGGTTTTGAAATGTTGAAACCTTTCTTACTTTTTGCTTTGTTTATCTACACTTCTTTCTGGTTCACTGGGAAGGAGCTTCACATTTGGGAAGACTATTCATGTGGAGTTTAAACCAGTGATACATTAAGGTCTTCTGCATTTGGTGTCCTGTACCAACAAGTGATTGTTTGCAGATGATAAATGCAGAAACATTTCGTCTATGTTCTTGAATTTTTGCAGTGATTTTTCTGAAACCCATCTAGTGATACAATCATTTACATGTTTTTGTTCAGGTTTAATAAGACTATTAGCATGAATAAAGAACAGGGATGCATAGCAGTCTGCAACTATGCATCAGTTTAGTTTGCTGACTTTTGGAACTAGGAAAGAAAAACAAGAGAGAGAATAACCCATTTTATTGTATATGGATTCTTGAGACATTGAGGGTATGAAGTCATTCACTCCATCACGACTGTTTATAGGAACATGTTAGAGAAACAACTCCATAGGCACCGAAAAACGGGGTAATAAACTTCAATGATATTTTAAATAGTATGTACACAGCACCCACATGGTGAGCCCCATACATCACCAAATATTACTCTGAAATACCAAACACAACACTAAGAATACCATACGCCGCAAACCCCCACTTCAATTACCCTGTAACATGAGAGAGAGAGAGAGAGAGAGACAGACAGACGCGAGTCATGCAACTGCAACTCCAGTTAGGTGGGGCTGCCTCTCTGATCCTTTCTCTGCAACTCCGGTTAGGTGGGGCTGCCTCTCCGATCCTTTCTCTGGCAACCGATCTGAGGGCACCTTTCTCTTCGAATTGGTCTTAGGAACAGGGGCTAAGGGTCTAATGTAGTTTCTGAGTTTCATAACATCTCCTAACCGTAGCGGCTTTAGTATGAACTCTTCTGCACCTATGGCAAGACAACTGCACAAGAAACTGTGTTATAAAAATAAATTATTTATCCAGTTTCGATATCCTTGCTCTAGAACAAATAGCGGTCTCTTGTGATCAGTTTCCCTAGTCAGTACTATGCTTGTTTTGGCTTTTTTTGGACAAACTACAGTAACTCAAGCCCTTGACCTCGTCACCTAAATCGATATGTCTACAAGCCTTAGGGACAAAAGAAACAAAGTTAAAATTCAATTAAAATAAATACTGCAAGAAAACAGTAATGTCAACATTTAACAATAATTAGCAATGTATAAATAGTGATAATAACAATAATAGTGATAATCATATAATAAGCCACCTTAGATTTTTTTAGAGAATAGTAAGATGAATGTAATGATTTGGTTGTTTTGGTGGAAGCATCTTAGCAGAGGTCGGCTTCACAAATATTTTGATGTTTCTTCTCTAGGCAACAAAATATAGCATGTAGGCCCACAAACATTGTGTTCTTATTTGAGAGGTTTTTGTCTTTCTCCCACATTTTGTTCCTTCTTGAAGAAAGGAAAAGTTGTCATGTTAATTAGATGCCCTACTCAATGCAGATACCCTTACAAATGACTTAAAAGTACAATGTGCATTCAATGTTTACAATCTTTTATTCAGAATGTGAACTTTTTAAATTTTGGCATATGCACATTCAGTTAACAATGGAAAAATATGCAACACGAAAAAGAATAGGAAAAATGAAAAGATCCAAAACAGTGAAGAAAATCTTCTGAAATAGGGGAATCAGAACTGGAAGAGGTCTGAACAGGGGATTTGGAGGGTTCTGGAGCACAAGGCTGCGGCTGAAAAACGAATCCCAGCAAGGGAAACTCTGCAAATCCATCATCTCCATCTCCAACTGGTTTGCAAGCCATCATGATATCTTTTGAGAGAAGGTTAACATTTTTTGTTTTTTTTTTTTTGAGAGAAGGTTTTAATTTTTTTTTTTTTTGAGAGAGAAGGTTAACATAAAGCCATCATGATGTTTTCTTGCACAAATTTTTAGTTTACTGACATGAATTTTAATTGCAAGAATATAGAGCCGCAGTCTCACCAAAAACCTCTTCCTTTAAACATGTAAAAGTTTAAATATAGTACAATTAAGATGCAGTCCCCTTTTTTAAATCTACATTAGGGATGGATCTAGAAGTAGTGAAAGATACAGGGACTTATGGCCTTATTGAAAGTATGACTCTTAACATAGCAAAATGACGGACCAAGATTCGTGTAACGATCTCAATTAGTTGAGAAAAGACTTTGACAATGATGATGATTTATGATTTTGCAGCTTAAAATATAGTGGCAATGAGATGTTCTCAAATAATTAAAAATAAACATTCCAGTAAATATATATTATTATTGTAAGGCTCAAGATCCATTTTTTTACAAATTTGTTATCGGGCTGGTTGAAATTATCCATATGTTAAATTTTAGGTCCAAAATGCATGTCCAAGATGGATTTTTGAAGGAGACGGATTTTTGAAGGAGACATTTGAATAGGCAAGTGAGCTACCACAAACCATCCAATGAATAAATGCAAATGTTATTTGAGATTGTACATCATGGCACTGTGTACCATATTACATGAATGCAATATATCATCTCAACCGTCCATTTCCAAAATGGATAGTCATATATGAAGTGAAAGCTACACCAGTAACTCCCAACTAATTGCCAACCAAGCTAGAAAAGACCCATTGTCATCTATAATTTGCTCATTTTGGATTTGATGGTTAAGATGCTATGTACCATAGAACATGGTGCATGGCATCTTCTCAACCCTAAAATCAGTGTTTAAAAACGAGGACTGGTGAAGTGATTGCCAACCAGTCTACGCCATTGGCCCAGTCGGCGACTCAATTACACCTACTCGGCCAACTAAAAAAAGGGTAAACAAAACAAAAAAAAAATCTAATCAAAATGTAAAGAGTTTAAAATGTTTAAACAAGGCCCAGGAACTTCAAATCTTCCTAAAAACTTCAGTTTTATCATGATAGAACTCCTAAAAACTTTAGTTTTATAAGGATAAAACTCTTTTTAATGTTGTTTGTACACTCCTAGGTCCAAGTTTTGATACAGGGATAGACGAGGTTCGGGTGGGGCTAGTTCAGATTCGGCTCAGGCAGTTCAGAGTTGGATAAGCAAAATGCAGAAGAGGGATTACCTCCTAATTCTCTGAGGTACATTTTCTGATGACATCATGACCACTGGAATATCTTTCATGCCCTTATTTCCCTGGTTGATTTTCAAGTGAAGAAAAATAAATAAGAAACCCTAATATTAATTAAACAAGAACATTTATCAATGAAAATTGCTTAAAAATTCAATAGTGGAACCATAGGGGTACCTTAACTAAGGCAAGAAGATCATAACCGCTCATCTCAGGCATGCAGTAATCTGTGAGGATAATGTCGACTTTGCAGGCCTGTGTAATCATTTCCATGGATTCTCATTTGTTTTGATGTTTGTGTGTGAGAGTGAGAGAGAGAGAGAGAGAGAGAGAGAGGTGACGCGACCCTTCTTATAGTGCATTGTTTGAGAGAGAGATAGAGAGAGAGGT